GATGCCGGCGAAACGTTTGGGAATGTACCACGTCCGCGGTTCAACTTTGCAAATGATCATGCATACAATGGACTCCGGACTGGGTGCGTTCCTCTAAGTTTTCCTACCAATATGACCATGTTGCGAAAACAAAGTCAAACAACTTACTACTTAAATAGTTATTTTATTTTCGGCTAAAGTCCACTATAGGTCCTGAAATCACCTTAAACAATCTCGGTTGACTAGGCTCTTGTTGCAATCCACTCAAAATGCTCTTCTCTTCTCTTTTCAGCACACGAAACCTCTAGCAGAAATCCGTCAAAGATTTCCTGTTACTGGCTTGGCTAAACGAATGAGTATCGCGGCATCTGATTTGCTCGGCAAACCGGTAGGCATCATGCTTTCAAAACCTCTCTGGTCTCTTGTTCTTTTTAAGGGTCACGTGGATAAGCTGCATTAATTTGTCTTATTTTCTTTCAACATGACAGCGTGATGTTCTCGTCATACTTCTACTTCAACTTAACCGAGAACAAGCCAACCTGAAAAGATGGCGTGAGTACTTCTTGAAACATCTCAAAGAGCTTCAAGCTCATAAAAGGTACTACTATTTGACCATTATCCAGGGCTTCATGACAGACGTGTATGACATTTCGCTGAGAAGCGGCGTAATCACCCAGAAAATGCTTGCTACTTGTATGCTAGCTTATATAGTGATACATTCGAAAAATGCGCATAATTTGCTCACATGGGCCGCTTCATTCCTCCCTCATACATGGGCTCGTCGGTGTCTTGGTTACGCACCCGAGCGGCCTGGTTACCAATGTCTGAATTGGCGCTCGCCACTTCGTTTCTCACTGCACAAAGTGTATACACAGATTCGCAATGCACATGTCTGTAATAACAACACTTCCTACCCTCATTTCGGAATCGACTGGACCCCATGACTGATCGGCTTTCAGTCAATTAGTTGCTTGCAAGTTGAAAGCAAATTTGCTCATCCTCTTACGTATGATAGTTCCACACCTTGTCGTTTCTGTCATGGCCCAAAAGGCCATTTTAATTGAGACACCGTATCAATTGATCACTTGCTGACCAAGTTATTTGCATAGACGGGCAGCGCATAAAAACACACAGAGGGCCTTTCATAGATAAAACCACTCCCTCAAATTCAATCGTGTCATCAATTATGCACTTTGATACGAAATGAGAGTGCCCCTAACAATATGTGATTTAGCCAAATATATGTGAAAACGATCTAACCTTTCGTCTACATATGATAGGCACTATCAGACATAGGACTTATTCTTGTAAGGGTTTTAAGTTAACGTTAAGTCAAGGATATATGAAGAGCAAGATGTTGTGGCCTCTGGTGTGGTCGCAGTCTCCTTTCGATTGATAGAAGTGGATTGACCTCGTCGTCGCAACTTGGTCTTGTTTTCAGAGAGACCATGTAGAACGCACCTAGTCCAAATTCGTCTGCCATAGTAGTTGTCATGATTCCCAGCATCTGACAGTGGACTTGATACATTCTCAAACGTT